TTAATTCAATATATATGCACTTACTTAATTCCTGTCTATTGATTGTAGCAGTTAACTGAGACGAAATTTTGGTTGAAATCATATCATACTTGGCGGAAATATAACTTAACTTACTACGATAATAAAATGGCTAAAAAGATATGTTAAAGATAACATAAAATCTTATTATAAGTCCTCATTAATCTCGATGAAATTAACAAAAGAAACTGTGCAATAAAACGTGATCCTCATTTTTTATTCTTATAAACACAAATTGGGGATATATATACCGTGCCGTGTCACTTATTCCGTTTTTTTTAATAGCTGAAATATAGCAAATAATTTGAATAATAATTTAATACATTAGTAGATTAATGATAATTTCAATAAAAATGAAGATGTACGAACCGATAATAGTTAGGCTTAAAAGGTCCAGCCTTGTTAAGTCCCATATATTTAGCTTGCTCGTCTGTCAATTCCGTTAAATGCGCATCGAACGTCGGTAAATGTAAAGAAGCCACATACTCATCTATTAAATTATATCACATTGATCACTATTGATTTTCTCGACCGATTGGTTTCCAGTTTGATGAAAAATGACATATATGTTTCATGCTTACCCATCTTCTTCGGTAACAAATAAACGTCGCTTTTGTATCGTCCGGGGGGCGCGTTGAACAGTTCGATCAGTGCTAACGCTTGGGTAGCGGCTGTAATCGATACAACGAACGATGGAATACTGGAACAAGACAAGTTGACTAACCGGCCTTCGGCTAGTAACACGATCCGCTTTCCATCTGGCCAGATAACATGATCCACCTGGGACCTTACTTTTTCCCAAATTAAATCGGGCGTGCGTAAACTGTTCTGTTAAGAGCACATTAAACGAGTCTTAATGTCTTACATATTTCTTCTGAAATATAAGAAACACGAGTTTTCTCCTACAAACTCTAGTTGAAAATCTAATCGACTTTTGATCTCGAATTAACTAAGTATGATTAAAATTTCAACGTACAATATCTATTTCTGTATTACTGTGGCCCATATTGCACACTACACAGCCGTTTTTCATTTTGTCCATATGCTCTCGCGTAACTACATTCTTGTTACCGGTCGCAGTTATGACGATATCTACATTTCGAATGACCTCGTTTAATTTCATTACTCGAAACCCATCCATGCTGTAAATAATACGTAAGGAATTGAGCATACCCTGCGATACGTACATGTACACGTTCTAATGGATATAAATCTACCTTGCTTGTAAAGCACAAATGGGATCGATTTCAGTTATATAAACGATACATCCCAAACCTTTGAGAGCCTGACAACAACCTTTACCGACCTCGCCGTAGCCACAAATCACAACTTGTTTGCCACCAAACATAATATCTGTCGATCTCTTTAAGCTACAACAAATATTGCACAAATAAAAATAATTGTCAACAGAACATCTCCGCTCTGTTTAAAATACCGCGTTTACCTGTCGATAATGCTTTCGCGGCAGCTATAAAGATTATCAAACTTGGTCTTTGTTACGCTATCATTGACGTTCATGGCAGGGACGGATAATTTACCCGCTTTAGATAACTGATACAATCTGTGTACACCAGTCACGCTTTCTTCAACGATTCCTGCAAGTTTCCAGAATTAAAATCTCGCGTTACTGTGAGAGACGCGACCGACAGACCTTGAATCATCTTAAACATGGTATTATATTTCTTCAGCATTAAGTGCGTCGCGTCGCCGCCGTCGTCTAGTATCATGTTAGGCTGCCAATTCTCAGCGGCCACGCATTTATCGATGCACCACCAGAAGTCTTCCTCCGTTTCGCCACGCCAAGCGAAAATCGGATATCCAGCGTGAGCAAGAGCGGCGGCCACTTCGTTTTGAGTAGAATATATATTACACGCCGCCCATCTAACTTGCGCTCCCAAATTTACTAACGTTTCGATCAGAACAGCGGTTTGAGCATTGATATGAGTACATCCGACAATTTTAGCGTTTTTCAGAGGCTGTTTAAAATCAATCGTTTATTGTAGACGTAATAAATAAACATTCCGCTTATGGAAATTGAATTAAAAGATTTTTATACCTTGTCCTCAGCGGCACGTTTACGAAGTGCCATAATTCCCGGCATCTCCTGTTCTGCTATTTCTATCTCCCGTCTACCGAATGCATGTTGAGTAATATTGCGTACACAGAAATCTGTGAAACCAGTCTCTGTGCTTTGTATCTTCTCACGAGGTGACACATCATCTTCGTCCGACGAGCTTCCTGTATAAGATGCTAAAATATTAGGAAAGAAAAGATTGAAAGCATCGCGGATGGCTTACGGCAATTGGTTGTAGCCATTAAACACATTCGTACCGGAACTATAACTGTCTGTACTACTGGCCGAGAGAGATCGACTACGGTAACGACTGGATTTCTTCAAAGCTCCAGATTTCGAGTCCTAAATATTTAAAAAATCAAATATATATATATGAGTTATAAAATGACGGAGACCTATCTTCTGTCTTTAAAAGGGCTGCAGTGGATGGAAATGGACTACGAACATAAAATGTGCGAATGAAGCTATTTTATTCGATAAAATGGACACAGATTAATACGGACGATGTGATATTATGTTATTGATGTTATTCGTGATGCATTAATGACGCAAAGTAAATCTATTCTTGTAGGCAAAGAAAGGTAGGTGCGAAAATAATTCGTGATTTTAATTATATCTCCGTGAGAGGATCGTCTTCTCGTTCCTGTGTCGTTTAATGGAAAGATAAAAATGATAAGCCCATCGGCACATACCACGATTAAGTAGTCATAGGAATTAAAGCAGCCCTGAGAAAATTGATAGGATCGCTCAATGGAAGGAATACAAATTTACTTTATGTTTCGAACACACATATTCTTACTTACTAATTTTGTTCTCGCGCCGTGAAAGGCATTATTTGATGCCTCTAGGCTCTGAAATCACAACAACCACCATTTCATGATTCAAATTTAATTAGATTTTTATAGTACAGTCCGTAGCTTGGTACAAAGCCCCCAAAGATGGTATTTGCTATAAGGTATAAAACTTGAATCAGGCGAAAAAAAACCAGTTTCATGTACATAAGAAATGTCTTCTTTTTATTAATCATTTCCTCGGTTTATTTTTAATGCGCTCAAGACATTGGCTCAGTAGTGCTAATTGTGCCACGCCTATTTCGTGTATTTAGGCTTGTAATGAGCGATGCATGAGTGATTGGTACCGAACCTACGGACTACTGTGAGGATAATGCTCTATATGTAAAATAATATAAGCACCTTGATAGCGGACAACGTATGCAACAGCATGCAAATCATCTTTTAATTTTGCATTATCGAGATTTACAGTTTTCAATATCATCGAAGATTCTTAAACAGTTATATCGGCTTTAAGTGTTAGTGTCCTGAAATATTATGCAAGGAAATGTACAAAAATAGGTACTAAAGAANGATTATATTAGGTGTCAGGTATATCTATTGGAGAACTCATTATCATATCGTCCCAAAAGGCATTTTCACTTATTTATAAATGCTCGGTTGTCATTCAGTTGAAGTTTCACGATAACAATACACGGAAGTTATTTGTTTGGCAATAACCAGACGTCAATTAATACCATGTGCTGCATTATATAACAGCAACATGTGTTGCTCATAATACTTCAAAGGGTTGGGTTAAGATGCGATAAAAAGAACAAAAAAAACATAGGTAAAAGAGGATAAAGGTAACCGAGAAGCCTTGTACTGTACAAGTGATTTGACAAAAGTAACAGACACAGGGACAACAATGAAAACATATTTGGTTCCGTTGCTCGGATTAGTTTTTGGCACGGCTAGAAAGAGGATTGAAAAAGAAAAATACTTTACATTCCTCGAACGACATAATTAGCCACAATGTAATACGGCGGTAAATACAATACTCGTGGCAGTGTTATGTCAGGTTTTAATATAATGACAATACAAATCGAAGGAGTTCGGCCGTCTATATGTCCGACGATAGCGAATTTGAATTTACCTTGGTATTCGATGCTGGATCGGTGACAGGTCCATCGGTGACGGCATTTCTAGCCTCTTTTCCTGACGACGTACTGTTCACCGCATCTCCGCTGTCAGCCATTTTTGATTCGAAATCCGACTAGTTTGTCTATCAAACGGTAGGTGGTGTTTTTTATGCACTTTCAGGAGCGTAGCTACGATGTGCTTGTAAAGTTGTAGCAGATACGGTCTTGTCGATAAACTTCGTAAATAATTAATTCGTTTAAATAAATAATGGAAACAACAGTGAGAACAATACATTCGCTAATACAAAAGTTCAATAACTATATTATTTATCTGTTAAGAGTTTAATATTTACATGAAGTTATAAAACGTATCATTCGTATATCAGACACTTTTATTAATATTTCTGTAGTTATTTTATAGGGGTGTAGGGGAAGAAAGGTGTATGTATATTATTTGTTTCACTATTATCTTCTTTATTACTGAGAGGTGCATATAAATTTATATCAATGAATTCTACGTTTAATTAAATGAAGAAGAACAGATTGGATAATACTCGATGCTGACGGAGGGTCTTACTTTTAAAATATGATCATAGGTACGCTAGATACGGCCTTGTTCTTGTTCGGCGTATACTATCCATCCTGAAAACATTAATAGCCTTGTGCCCACCCACCAAGATGGCTCCTTTATGGGGCAATACTCGATGTTTAACGTGAAGTTATTTACACACCTGGAAATAAACGTTCACCCGGACAAGTTCTGGATGCGTTTCAGTGCGTTGTGCGTTCGGGAAAGATTGAAGGAAAGTGGTTTTTGTACAGCGTTGAAGAATCGATTGAGTTCCTGAAGAGAAAAAAATCCTACGGGATGGCCGGTTGATGTAATACATGCACAGCCCGCTTGCCGAACGAAAATCTGTACAGGTACCACAGCCACTTACATCAGACAGGATAATTTATATCAATTTCCTGGTTTTGCTTCGAAAAATCGTGCATGGTATTTCGTGCCTGTCCGTCGTGTGCCTTGTCGGAGCTACTAAATCCCGGGGCTCGGGACTATCGCCAGTGTCAAAATTGACCGTGGTTGTGTACAATGCATATTGATCTATTCGTAGCTGTCATTTGTATATCGAATACATAATTTGTTTCTTCTGCATGAATCATGTCTCGTAAATCTCGTATGGAAGTCGACGAGCCTCGATTATCTCTTCATTAACGGATAACGTTCCAAAGATCGTCCGATAGAATATTCAGACGCATTACAAATATTCTGTTATTGCTACGAAATATATTATTTTTGGGAATCCATCGACAATGTCTTTATAAACCTGGCTGAAATTGCTAGGTCAATCTTTTAATCGTTTAAATTAAGATCAAGCAGGATTTGTATTATTTATGTGGAGGTTAATGCAAAATCTATCTTTAAGCACATTTTTGCGTTTTACTTTGTACAATTCATAACCTGTAAATTAATTTGAGTATTTTATTCTTGCATAATAAATTTCGTTGATAAAAGTGGATTTTAGAAGTGGATTTCAGAAGAGTTCTTTGAGCAATTTAAGTTTGATTTAATAATAATGAGTAGACTGCGGATTTTGTGCAGTTGTAAGAAAATTGAATCTGAAATGATAAATCTTGTGTCACGTATAAAACTCAGAACATCAAAAGCTGAATATGTAATTCAATGTTTAAATTATCAATTAAATGTTTATCTCAAACACATCTTTTAAACTGATGAATATTTTATTTTGCATAAAGATCCGCATTCTAACAATGAAATATAACAAAATGTGATTTGAATATCTATAATTTTACGTGATTTCACGTATTTTGAACAGTACATGCTGTGTCACAAACATGACAGAATTAGCCTCGTGAGAAATATACTAATAATACTTAGTACATCCTTTATTCCTTTATTCCTTTACTCATTCGTGACATCATTTTTATTTCAGACACACAGTGCCATTCCAAAGAATCATTGCTCACAGTCGTGCTAAATTATAAATGCCATGCTTCGTAAAAGACGATGAACGGTAAAGAGATTTGTGTTATTCATTTCTAGTGATGTAATTTGTCACCTCTGAAGTTGTAATAATAACCAGTAAGAAGGGGAGACGAGATTAACGAAGTTCAAATGAAATACTGGCAAATGAAATTTGTGTGTAATTGTTCTCAATCGAATTTGCATGCAATACACGAATTCGTAGCATGATGTTTAGATGAAGGGAAGGAGAAATTAAAATAGAGGAACAGATTGGGAAAAAATGTTACCAAAAGGAGGTGATGAATCTTGTATGTATTTCTAAACATGATACAATGACCAAAGGAGCACAGGCACAGATCTTTAATAACTGAAAAGATAAATTATTAACAGTGCTATCCAAAAATGTCTTGAGTACAGTTTGGTAAAAAGAATTTTATTTTCACACTTATTAACTTATAAGTGATCCTAACTCCAACAAAGCTTTAAAAATGGCAAGGAAAAGTGACAATATCAAAGCCATCAATGTTGCTGTTGTCGGTCTTTCTGGTACCGAGAAAGATAAAGGTCAAGTCGGTGTTGGGAAATCATGTCTGTGTAATCGTTTTATGCGCTCTTTGAATGATGATTATAATGTGGACCATATATCAGTGTTATCGCAGGTGTGTATTGGATATTCGTATTACGTGTTGCTTAAGCACCTGTACGTATCTCGCATCGGTTATCCCTTGTAATTTTTTATTATGTTTTCCAGTCGGATTTTAGTGGTAGAGTGGTGAATAATGATCATTTCCTATATTGGGGTGAAGTTACGAAGGCGGCGGAGGACGGTACAGAATATCAGTTTCATGTGATAGAACATACAGAATTTATAGATGATGCATCGTTTCAGCCTTTTAAAGGTGGTAAAATGGAACCTTACGCAAAGAGGTGTGCAGCCACAAAGATTACAAGCGCAGAGAAGCTCATGTACATTTGCAAGAATCAATTAGGCATAGAGAAAGAGTACGAGCAAAAAGTTCTGCCGGATGGTAAATTGAACATCGATGGTTTTCTCTGTGTATTTGATGTGAGTGTCGTACCAAATAGATCGATAGAGAAACAGATCGAAATAGTGGCGAACATACTGAACAATCTGATGAAAACTAAGAAGCCTATAATTGTGGTAACGACTAAAAACGACGATGCTAATGAACAATATGTAAAGGAGGCGGAGAAGCTAGTGATGCGCAAGGAGTACAAAGGTTCCATTTTGATAGTTGAAACGTCTGCGCATGAAAACATTAATACCGACCTAGCATTCTTCATCTTGGCGCAAATAATTGATAAAACGAAAATGCGCAGTAAGGTAACACCATTTGCGGAAGCGGCCAGAGCCAGGAAAGAACTGTTGGATGCATCGACGGAATCTTTACAAAGATTGATCCGGTTACACGTTACTGATTATAGAGCATTATGGTCGCAGGCGTCCAAGAAGCTGGCGCAGCACAAGGAATTCACGACGTTCGTGGAACTATTCGGTATTGACGCAACCCAAAGATTATTTAGAAGACATATTAAGAAATTGAAGGATGAACAGATAGCGAAGAAGATTCAGGGATATTTAGACATGTTGCCTGATATTCTTCATGAAATATGCCCTGACGTAACCAATTTAATTAATGAGTATGTCCCTTCCCGAATCACGAAATAATCAATTACGTTTAATTACTGTTTGTATCTATATTTCTTTTTTACATAGGGAATGGTCTGCGGTGCAGCAATATATAAAGGAACATCCCGATTTCCATCAGTATTTCTATGAATGTCCCGAGGATAAACCATGGATCGATTGTGATTTCGATGAGACTAATGGAACAAAGATTCCTTATGACGTGTTAGAAACACCGGAAGCAGAAACCGTTTTCAAAAATCATATAAATGTACTGCAGCAAGAACAGCGACGATTGGAGTAAGTGTTAACAGATGTATGGAAGATTGACCGTCAGATATATGCGCAAATATATCCCGATTACGTCTTATTATAATTATGGTCCGCTGCATATGCTTTGAGATAATCATTAGAGTCACATAGTTATAGTGCGATTTAGAGGGTAATCATGCAACATACTAATGCTTTGCTTTATTCTGGGTGGCGTTTCTTTCTGCAGACTTCCCAAAAGGTAAATGCTTTTTATTGCTTCATATTATAGGATATTGGGTTTTAGAAATAAACATGCGATCGTATAATTACATATGTTAACATCTTAGTATTTTATATACTTTGGCATATTTAAAACTTTCGACAAATAAATATTCTAGAAATAATGAAATTTTAGTTTAGAGAAAAAAAAACACTGTAATTATATAATTATATCGTTCTATTAGATGGAAAAAGCAATTTAAACAATTGTTGGAAGAAACTGGCTATGTTACACCAGGGAAACACTTGTCTGAAGTCAGAGTACTTTTTATGGGTAGAGAATGCTTTGAAGCACTTTCTCACCATGATTGTCAAGAGATATATGATCAACATCAAAAAGAAATCATTGAAAAAGCAAAACATAATTTCCAAGTAAGAACATATACTTTAATATAACTAATATTAAATGATACAAACGTCTTGTTGACTTCAAAACTTACATTCCAACTCTACAATTTAGGAGCTGTTGTTAGAACATGCTGACTTGTTCTATCATTTCAAATCTATAGCACCGACTGGTACTATAACACAAGATGATATAAAAGAAATAACCGATGCATTGCTGGACGATTTTAGGTAAATCAATTAATCTTTTGTTTCTCAAAGTGTTTGTTTATCTGTTCATAATCTCTTGTGTTACACAGGTATAAGGCTTTAGATAGACTCGATCAAGATAGGAAATTAATGCTTTTCCAACACTTAGGTTTTGTACATTGTCCCATAAGGGAACATTGCCCAGCTTATCCAAATTGCATGGACGCACTCATAGAACGGATACTTGGAACGAAAGCTCATAGGTAAACATTAAAGAAAAAAATCAAATGGTTTTGTATATATTGAGAGAAAAAATCTCTTTTTCAGGCCTTCTTCGTGGAATCATAGTAGTCAATGGCAATTAACGTCTGATAATAACCAATTAAATTTAGTTATACTTGGAAGCAATGGACTTGGCGAGGAGTTCGCTCGCGAAATAAGAGCACAAACAGAGGACGACGAAGTAGAGATTGACTGTCAGTTGTATACGCTTGGATATCGAATAATCGACGGTGATGTCGGATTACCGCACAACTCGTTTACTACTTCCGACTTTATGCCTCACGGTGCGCGATCACACTAACTCTAATGATTCTTTCCAAGATGGATTTCCAAGGAGATTTTTAATTTCCAGGCTCTTTTTGTATTTATGCTAACGAGGATTCGTTCGAATATATTCGCTCTTCCTTAGAGAAGACTTTATTATCGAACCTGGAGCAAGAGGACAGGTTGCCATTTCAAGGATTGCCTATTGTCATTATGTTTGTACCAGAATCTACTATAGATGAGATGGAAGCAATACGACTTAGGGAGGAGGGTCAGAACCTCGCCGATAGGTACTACTTATTTATGAAACACACTGTTATTAATATATTATTATATTTAGCTGGTACATGGACAATACGACTAACATCCAATTTGTACATTAGTTTACAGTGCCCGTTTATCGATGTTTGTATAGAAGACTTGGAGCAAGACAAGAGGTTTCCTACCCCTCTAGTAAAGGATGCTTTACAACAACTTATACAATCAATAAATCACAGAGCTGGTTTTCTAAATATTTACCAAAGCGTTATCGAATGTTTCGAGCCTGATATTAGGTAACGCGATCTTCGAACAAATCTGATTTCGAATAAGAAGAATATATTATATAACGATATCTCGTCTGTTCTATAGAATCATAATGTGTATGTTTTGCGGAGACCCATATTCTGTGGAGAACGTACTGGGCCCTTTACTCAACCATCAATGTTGTTTTCTTAGTGGCGACCGATCAATCGTTCTAGAAACATTTTTAGGAGAATCGAAGCGTAGGGTCGAAGTGATTATCTCAAGTTTCCACGGAGCGAATGCATTCAGGGACGAATTGGTTCACGGTTTCATATTGGTTTATTCAACGAAGAGGAAAGCATCACTTGCCACCTTGAAGTACGTGTAATACGATGGTACTTAATATGCGTCGAGAGTCAGCAGTTATTCTTACTCGATCTGTTTTCCTCCAGTGCGTTTTCTATGAATATACCAAACTTACCAATACAAATAATGGCTGTGACTGATACTGGAGGCGCTAACGCCTTCTTTAGTAACGACTTGAGTCATCTGCTTATTACGGAAGGAAATGCGATCGCGGACAAATTGCAAGCGCACTTCATGACCTCCGCGTCTAGTTGCCAGCAAAAAAGTATGTTACCATCTATGTAAAAGTAATAGACTTCTATTTTTATCAAATGAAACTTAAATGTAAATTTGCTTGTTACAGCGGCATTTTATACGCCATTCTTTAAAGAGGTTTGGGAGAAGAAGCCTGAGATTGAACAAGCTTTTAATATGGAGGAACCGGGTAATCTAAATGACAGCGGCGAGGGAACTTTGGAATATTCGGCGTTGCACCCTATGCCACCACCACGCCATGAAAGTTATCATCTTCAAACACCGGACGATGGGTAAGTAATCTAATAAAGACTTTTGATATACCATACGATTTGTAACGATCAATACGAAACTTTCATTGTAATTCAAATGATCTAATGTCAAGCAGTATGTCTGTAACTTTTAGGAGTGGTTCCGAGTCGTATGAGCAGTTAACTCCGGATGGTGATCTCGGAGAAACGGGATTGAACGAACCGTTTGCAGACAACAGAGCCACTCCCAGCGATGACAGCGATATTTATAGCCAAGTAGACTTTTATAGAGAAGAAAGAGAGAGGGATTTACTAAAACCCGGCGACATTGCAAACAAACTGTCCGGTTAGTCGTGTATTAAATAAAATCTTGCTTATAAAATAATTCATCTGATTTTAACACCGTATGTCTTATCGTGATAGGCTGGGTGAAGGATACGTTTATGCACCAGGACGGAGTGACCAATAGTTATTCTCACAGAGCGTTTACGACAGGTAGACGTCATATTTCTCAAACGAAACCGCGACCAAAAGGAAACAGCCAAACCCTGAAGCAGCCTGGGAAGATCAACTTGAAAGATTTTTCGAACGTGACGGACGCCATAGCTAGAATGACCGTCGGCGAGAAGGACGAACACGGCTCTAAGATGACGATGGGTCACGCTCCTCTCGCTACGCCTGAATTGGTAGATCTGGGTTCTGAATATGCGCAAGTTAAAGATGTCGTACCGAGCATGTATCCGTCGTACGACGGTGATTACATGTATGCCTTGGTGCAAGATTCCATCGGAAATAATAAATCCAAGTTGCGTCATAAGCGAGAAAAGGGGCAACCTTGTAAGTAGTAGAATCTGTTTACGAAATTTCATTGCAAATTCACAATTACGTTCACGTACGTTGATCGTACATTTCATTTTATAGCGTATAGCGATTCAGATTCGGAGTGGAGTTCTTTGGAAAGGCAGAGAGTCGCTGGTATTCTGAGTAAAGCGAGTAAGAAACCACCGTCCCACAAAAGGACAAGGAAAAAGCGAGCACCCATATTTGTCGCTGGGCCTACAGTTCCAACTTCAGCTAGCATGGGTGGAGATGGTATTATTGGTTTAAATTACAATGTCAAAGAAGATAAAAGTTGGCGAACAAATCCTGTGGAAAGGGGTGCGTATTACTGTGATAATATATTTGTATGATATGTATTAGGGTGAACCAAAAGTTCGTGCGTTTTTTTTTGTTGCTTCAGTTTGTATAATTTTTCGACGTCAATAAAAATACTTTGTCCTTCTAGTTTCCAGCGAGACACCAGATTCTTCTGAATCCAGTGACCCGGATCACACGTCGAGATCTAGAGCAAAGCAGTGTAAACACACTGCTACAAGCCTGCGAAAAAGATTTGGGAATTCATTAGCGCAGCAACATCTACCAACATCACTACAGCATCCCTACAACGTGAAACACATGACTCAAGAGATGTTCAGCGCTTCCTGTAAGTGGTATTTAAACTGTTTATGCAAAAGTGATTGGAAATTCTTGTTATTTACAGGCAAAGTTTATATTTCATTTGAATTAATAATAGATTCATAGAATTCTGTTTTTTTTTTTTTTTTTAATGATTAGACAGGATATTTAGACAGAAGAGTTATAATTAAGTCTTTGGCAATATTTCAGATGATGAATCCAGCCTGGATGTCTCTTCTCCACGAGAAATAAATTCTCCCAGTGTAAGTAAGAAGAAACTACATAAAAAAATGAAAAAAATCTTGATATACATTTTTTGAAACGTATTTTGTTTTTCTATAACTAAGGTCAAGGATGGCGATAAATTGAACAGAAAAAAGGATAAGCAGAAGGCGAAGGAAGACGAGAAATTAGAGAAACGTCGGCAGAAAGAAGAAAAACTCAAGAAGCATGCGGAAAAGGAAAAGGAAAGAGAGAAGAAGAAGCAAGAGAAGATAAAACAAACTAAAGGGCCTAGTTCGACGTTGAGTATGAGCCAACCTCTGATCGAGGATTTCGCGCAAAGCGAAACAAACAGAATACCTCTGTTCCTCGAGAAATGTGTGCAATTTATTGAAGACGAAGGACTAGATTCTGAAGGTATATATAGGGTCCCTGGAAACAGAGCGCATGTAGAACTTCTCTTTCAGAAGTTCGAAGAAGGTAAGTTCTTTTATACAGTGCTACGTGTACAAGTGTTTTCACATTATTTATTCTATTAGTCATTCTTATATCTTTTTGTGTTGTAGATGGAAACGTGGACATACATTCATTGGACATACCTGTGAATGCTGTTGCAACGGCTTTAAAAGATTTCTTTTCAAAGAGGCTACCACCATTGATCGACAAAGAGAGAATGAGCGAGCTTGAAGATATTTCGGGTAAATTATGATGATTGTTTTAGAAATTATGAATATTAATACAATTTCCAGCTACTTCGTAATTAATGCCAATCTTCATCTTGGGTTCAGGTGCTCGCGGTATTAGCAAACCGATGTCTGCGACATGTATGAACATGGAAGGTAGATATTAATGACAAGTTTAGACGCAAATATTAATTAATGTTCGACGTAAATATACGGAAATTTATTGTAGATCGAAGCTGTAGACTATTGGCTCTACGTTTGATGCTCAACAAGTTGAATCCAGTAAATTTTGATGTACTTAAGTTTGTTTTTCACCATTTTGTAAAGTAAGTTCCTGTTTAAAGTTTCATAAATTGTTTATTTATATATTACACGGATTAAGAAAGCCATTTATATACATGGAAATATACAACGATTTTATTAACGCTTGTGTTATTTTGCAAAGTATTCTTTAAATGTAACATTTATTCATTTTCAGAGTGGCTGAAAACTGCAAACTGAACAGTATGGATAGCAAGAATCTGGCAATTTGCTGGTGGCCTACTTTATTACCTATAGAATTTAACGACCTGGGCAGATTTGAAGCGATGAGACCATATTTGGAGGATGTTGTTCAAACGATGATTGATCAATATCCTTTCCTGTTCTGCGGCGAGGAAGCTATCGTAATGGTTTAGTAAACGATTACGCCGTTTCGAATCGTACAATCCGAGTTTGTACGAACGACAGGGAACGATTCAGCGGTGTTACATACCGTAACGTTTCCGTAACATTTAATTCCGACGATTATCGATAAACGATTGGTCTCGCTATGTTCGTATACCGTAATCTCATCGTAGCCCGTTTGAGCTATGATTTAGGATAAAATTCTTATGACACAAGAAAACAATGAAAAGACCGAACAAAGTAATATAAGTTTAACATACTTGTTCCATTGCGAAGTGTGACTGACAGAGTGATAGACTACTAATGGTCCTAATGACGGCCGTTCACAGGCCCGATAATAATGCGAATAATTAAAAAAAAAAAGTCAATCCATGTGTCATAACAGTATGCATGTATCATGTTGGATGTATTAAGAGCGATGTATTTATTAACATATACATAGATGTAAGCCTCGATATTTGAAAATAGCGAATACTCGTAGTGAGCTCGATGTTGCTTTTTTATCTAATTAATTTCTTCCTTTTTTTGTTTATATGTTTCTCTACAAGTAAGAAAACTCTTTATTGTGTGCAACGTGCGCGTGTGTCTGACTGGGAGAGAAAGGGAGGAAGGAAGAGCGTGAGCGAGAAAAACAGGTATGGCGCAATCTTACAAAAAAATGAAGTGTATTCGTATTCTAAAAAAACGTGTTAAGACATTATGGTAAACCGTGCGAGGCATACAAATTTCCTCTGATTCATACGCATTTTTATATAGCAACGATATCAAAACGTTCGAAGTACTCTACGAATAATTTGGACCTTTCGATCGGTCATCTGTAGTCTCTGAGGATTAATTTTATTCCGATCGATATGAATCTCTTCCTCGAACCATTGTTACAGAATACTTAGTTCGATTTAAAAGAGCCAATCAAGCTCGTTCGTGATACAATTCGTAATATATCCATTCCGTCTGAATCAAGAACAAAAATAAGAAAAAAAAGAATAAAGAGAGCGAAAAGCGTTTACATGTACTCGTGACTTTTTCAAAAAAAAAAATTAAACTTTTACGCCAAGCGGATCGGAAGGATATCGGTACAGTTGTAATAATTAAGGTAATTCTTGCAGATACCCGTGTCTATAACGGATCACGGGCATACTAAATGTTAAGAACGATACTTTAGATTCTCACAGACATTTTTCAAGTTTCATAAAGCGAACGTGTACATAAGATTATAAGATTGTAAGCTACAAGAAAGTTTATAACAAGAATCGCGGAAATCGGTTACCGATACTCCGGAGATTGTTCGATCGACGGTCGCCACGACATACAAATCGCTTTGATCCTCTCGTTTTTAACGTGTTGCATGTTTTGTCAGGGACGAGTGAATACGTAATAGACGAAGGTCTGCGTTTTCGAATCGCGTATCGTATCTTTGTGTACCAGCTTTTGCCTGTACCTATAAAACGGTATTTGTCAATGTCTAATTTCGTTTCTCGAGCAGCTTTAAACTACTGTGGAACGCGTAATCAATCGTCGAACTGTCCTCCCGTTATTCTGCTCTTGTACCTGCTGCGTTCATCGTTTCGTTTTCGGTAAACAACTGACGAGTTCAACTTGAAAGAACACACGCATTATCTTTTATGTGTCTCCGCAAGACGATGGTTCTGACGATCGTGATTACTGTGCTCCAGGGAATAAGATGAAATTCGGTGAAGAAATACGACGCATCAACAGATTAAACGACTGAGCCATTAGAACTGTGATGTAGTTACTTGTTTTTAATGATGTATAATAGTAATTGTCGGAAGGAAAAAGAAACGAAATATTAATCCGTGACGCTTAACGCAACAGATGCGGTCTTTGTTGAGATGAAGCCATTGTTTAACAATCAGCACGTGTGTTAGCATCGATTGATTTTCCGTGCACGCAAAACCTTTCGTCTATTAAGAACGCGGATCCGGTTAAAAAAAAAAAAAAACAGGAAAGGAACATCCGTTCGAGTTAGCGGCGAATTCACGTGTATAAGTGTGCCATACTATATGTAGATGTCACGATCAATTGTATGATCTTCTATCTTTGGGCGATTGGAACGTTCGGAAGGGTCGCGTCAAGAAAAAGGCAAAAAACGAAGAAAAATATAGGATCAGGGAAGTCAATCGACGACCGGTATTAACAATGGGGTCACATGTGTTTGCTTTCTTTTCATTTTAGTTTGTTCGTCAATTCAGATGCATTACGAGAAACATTCCCGTAAAGTAACGAACGTCGTTACTTCTGATTTTGTCGAGCGCGAATTCGACGAGGTCCGCGAGGTCTCTTTGATGTTGAAAACACGTTTCGATGTAACAGTAAGTGAACGAAACAAGGGAAGTAGGTGACAGAGGAGAAAAATAGACCGGTTTCGGATCGGATTCGTTTGATCTCGGCGAGTTGGTCCTCGATAAATTTTGCACTCTTCTTATAAATATAAGAAAATCGTTGTAACGATATTTCAATGATCTAGCGAGCGTTGCGAGAACGCTTGGGCGCGAGCAATGGATCATACATTCCCATCTTAGTCGTAAAATGAAACAAACAAAACAGAATTTTATACATTCGTACGTACTTAATTGCATAATGTTATTAATAGGAACAGAGACGTCGATGTTACGTGTGAGATCTGAGATACGGATCAAATGCTGTCTGAAATAATAATGACATGATTTCTGTCATTGTCGCTGAACTCAAAATGACTCAACTTCTTCAACACACCTTTCACACTGTTTCATTTCTATCCTTGGCTCGCTTGCCATATTTTAAGTTTTCATTCTTCCTCGTACGTTTCTTCAGAAAAAATAAACCCTAGCTTTAGTTTGCCGTTAGTTTCTTACTTTACGTCGTCGTATCTCATCGATTTTCCTGTATACTTTTCTCCTTTGTTCCATGTTTTATATGATATTTCCTCGTATTCCGAGCACATTTTTCATAAAATTGTAGATTAAAAACTTAGAAATATGCAACTGCTTCGCGAATAAAGACGAGTCGTTATACATACAGATTTCCAGAGTCGAGTGCTGGGTCTGAGCGAGATTATCCACTACTCCTTTCAGTAGTACGATGGAGCATTGGGTAGAATGCGAGCTTAAGAAAGATAGACGACGCAGTGCAAGGTAGAAGAAAAAGAAACGGGGACAAGCAATAAAATTTGATTTAGGGCATCACTTTAGAAACAACAGTTTACGAGGCGAAATTTACGTCACTTCTCTGATAATGTCCTCTTTATAGGTATTTCCGAAGAGGTTTCGCGCAATCAAGAGTTATTCTGTTTTGTTTTTAGTTCTCGTTCTCAGTGAATACGAGCATAGCTTACATCTTCATCCGAACTCAGTGGTTATATTCATATTCTAAGAAATAGAGTTTTCGAGGTCGTGAACACAGATTTCATAATAGATAGAAATGTCATATAATAAAAAATACATATATATGTATAAAATATCGTATAACAGTTTCTCAAATTCGTCTTTCCCAAGGTGGAAAACTAAAATTTCATATGGTATCCTTATCTGGGATATCGATGGACGGTTCCTATCGCAAATTGTTCTCAATGCCCGATCTCTACCACGCTAGACAACCACGGTAGACAATCTACAACTCACTTTGGCTGTATTCCGAGCTTAAGTGTGAAAAACGCTCGACAACCCGTTGCGCTGGCGTACGATTAATCTTTCAATTCAAATATTTTTTACTTTCCTTCCACCCTTCGTTTCTGGATCATGCTTTTTTTTATCACATTCCCTACAGATGAGCGACACGAGGGTTGAAAAGCAGAAGATAAACGCAATCCGTTCTTCTCTGCAAAGAGCAATCGTTGGGATTTGCAGAATCTCTCACTGTTTTCAATCATCGAATAGAGAGTCGAAATACTTTCTTTAATATTTGACCAAATCTTTTCCCGAATATTCCTCTGCTTCATTCAATTTCTTTTATCTATATAAATCTTTTCATTTCGTGATGGTTTATTAATTTTAGCAAAAACGAACGGTTTTAGTTCGTAGCATATTTCTGAATTTTCCGTAGAAAGTCGGGTCAGCGTTCGATTTTAGAAACTACAGTCTTCGTCGAGCAAGTGGAGACAGTTTTCGGGATTAATTTCACGCTCTCGTGGAAAGTAATTTTTGAGACAAGGGGCCGTTCGATATACGTGTACATAAAGCCACGCGACCGACTCTATTTTCGTTTCTTTCCTTTTTCCTTCTACACAGCTCGTTCCGTCGAAGAAAAGGATTTGAATCGTGAATAGCGTGGCTAAGATCGTTTTTTCCGAGGTATTTACACGGGAATAGGATAACGGCGTGCAGCGGGTCGGACTGCGAAGTGTCCCTTGAAAACTGAGATAGAAAATGAGGAGCTTGAAACGAGCTCGAATTAGCGGCGCGGTCGATGGCTCAGCGCTCGTTTCTTTTTTTCTCTACCTCCCTTTGCTTCCGACCCTGATTATTCCTTCTTCTCTTTTTTACTCCCTTAATGAAACGTTCGACTAACGTGAAAAGAATTTTTTTTACATCGTTTCGCGGATTTTAAACGAATTTTATGTACTTAGTGGACAACTATTACGAACGCAGAACTTTTCAATTATTGTTCAACTTCGATCATGAAACCAACATCCTTCATGTAGTTGTGATTGTGTAACTCAAACGAGATTTTACTACGATTTGTCTTATTACGTCGATTTTTTGTTCGTCTTTCGCTTGTACTTAAATACATTTGTATTGGTTCGTCTCGAGGTTCTCCGTTAAGCCACGAGCCACCGATTTTCCATCATCGCAAGTAAAGGAAAGTACGACATTCGGTCGAGAAAGGAGATTATTGTTTCTCCCGAAGAAAAGTTGAAATCCGATTAAAAGCTTGGCAACCTCAGTATGAGGAGCACTGAAAAGCTTTCCGGTTACAACCCATAACGTATTTTCGTCTATTGTAGATTCAACGATCGCTGACCTATCGAATATCTATACGGGATCTATCCGATACTAACAGAAGTTCATCTTTCAGTTTGGCTGGTACCGGTAGTTTAATTTTTCGCCGACCTTTTTAAATAAAAAACATACTGCGTACACTGGTGGGTCCCGGGGAAGGAATTAAACGGAAGTTAAAGAGTTCGCGGGGGACGCACCAGAATCTGGAGGGAGCACGAGCTCGGTACTTAACCGAACGTTACACCTCGCACTGGAGCCGAGGATCACTCGTGTTTTGAGGTTTCGCACTCTTTCGTACGTTCATTAGCGGCGCAAATTTATCCAGCGGCGAGGCACACACGGTACTCGTACCACTCACCGCGTCTTGGCCCATCCGAAGTGGTTTCAGGATGTTCACGACAGACCTTGGACCGTAACTATTTCCCTTCTGCGCTTGCCGTCTTCACACCTCTCTCTATTCGAAATCGCAACTAAATTTCAGTAGGAAATAACAGGATGGGGAAAAGTACGTATGCGTAGCTTTATTGTTTTCCCTATGTTACATGTTTACAATGTTTCCCTATGTTTACAATGAAACTTCAGATTGACCTAACTGATTGATGTACAATTATCTTATGACTATGGTACTATTCTTACAAGATAGGGAAAAAGTCTTTCTAAAAATTGAGATATAATGTTTATTCAAGACTCAATCGTGTCAATTCTGGAATCCTTGAGGGTTCTCATAGTGAACTCCTTTGGTTTAATATATTCATTAATGATATTTCCGCAATTTTTTCGTTTTTATTTCCAGTTTAGCATTCCCAATTTCTCGCGGTCGATCAGAAACCATCACCAAGACCTCCAGTCACTTCCTGGAGGGTCTCTACGTTTTACAAACGCGTAGCGACATTTAATAATGGTACCCAGTAACCGGAAACAAGCCATGCGAAGTGAAAATTCGTCTAATCTGGCGCGTTGACCGTGACGAAGTGCCTGCTGAGTCTGCATATTCGGGGCAAGCTGATTATCAGCTACACAGCTCGCGCCTAGGCTTTCACGAGATTATTCACGCGACGTCGTGCTCGTGATTCAACGCGAATAACATTCACCCGTCACAATGTTATCGCGACGCCATGCCGAATCGCAAAGGGAACTGTGACGAAACGTTTTCCCTGTTCTATGAATTTTCACCTTTCACCGATACGATAGAGAATGAAACGGTTCTATGAAGAAAACTACTGGAACAACGGGAAGATAAGAACGATTTTTGGACTGTATCGTGGAGAGTACTCGCGGCGAATGATGTTCGTTTCGACGATAATAAAAATGTAGGAGGAAAGTTAGAGAGAATGGGAAAAGATAAACTCTTTTACTGGGAGTTTCGTTAAGCGGGAGAAAGGTGGAAGGGCGGAAGATCAAGGATGGGGAAAAGCGGTAATAATAAGGCACGACGAAATAAAAAGAAGAGTCGTGTCAAAAGAGTAAAGAGCCTGAACGAAGGAGGATCGTTCAAGCTAAAGAGGGGGAGACAGAGAGAGAGAGAGATGGCGAAGAGAAAAAAGCTTTAAGTAACGGTGAAAGGTAGTGTAAGAGATGGACGTCGTATATCTTAGGACGAACGAAAAATATAGACGAGTGCACGATGGATGAGTGAGAAATAGGAGCCGTGGAAAATAAGAGGAGATCGAAGGCTGGGAAGGGTTGTAGCTGAAGCGTAATTGGCAGCAATACTAAAAGCGGGCAGAAAAAATGGAACACGTCACAAATGGGAAAACAAGTGACTGTGCAACGTAATTAAACATGGTGCAAGCACCGATGAGGAGGCCTAATGGGGAGAACGAGATTGTCGATAATGATCTCGTTCCAGCACGAATACGAAAGTCGCGCAGGAGGGTCGAAGCGAATCGCACGTTCGAGGGACCAGTGGAAAATCGTGAAACGCGCCGGGGAGCGAATTAAGATCATGGAATAATTGGACGTCGCGCGAACGAGGCCTGGGCGTGCGCAGGCCCATAAACCTACATTTAAATTCAATCACGGGGGTGAAGCGGCGAAGCGGATGCGAACAGTGAGAAGAATCGAAGAGGAACGAAGGCTTTGCTCGCGCGTCCCCAGACGCCTGTGGCTGCGCGCTGTATGCGACGAAACGCACACGGAGCAGGAGAGGGCTGAAGAGGAGAACCGGCAGTGGAATCGGGCAAACAAATAAACACAGATACCTGAGGGTCCGACGAAAGAGTAGGGTCAAAGGGAAAAGCCGTGACGAGACGAGGTGAGCCGTGGTAAAGAGAGAGGGTGGCGGAGGGGAGGCGGAAGAGGAATAGGAAGAGTCTAGGGATTCGGGAGCATAGAGGAACGAAAGAGAGAGAGAGGGGATGAGGAACGCGGGAAGAGGGTTGAAAGCACGGATGGAAGGAGATATGACGTCATAGTTGAGGGTTGCCCGGGCAACGGGGAAGCGGTTCACCACCGCGTCGGGACACCGTCGCGCGTCGCCACCGCCGCCGCGACGTAAAAATCAATTTGAACCTTGGCTAGGTGACCGTTCGCTCGACGCTGCGTCGCGGCGGCTCGAGAGCAGCACGCTTCTCTTCCGGAGCTGCCTGCCGGCCACCTCGCGAGCGAGCTTGCGACCGACCGACTGACCGATACACCGCACTACCAGCCCGCGAGCACTCGAGCATCAGGCTCAGTCGCGAATCGCCGACCGAGCGGGTACCGCCAGTGAACGCGTCCGCCAGCGAGCGTGTCCACCGTCGACGAGCACGCACACTTCCTTCGCACGTTCACAGACCCACGCGTCCCACGCGACCGATCGCGTTCACGAGCTTCGACGAGCTCGCTTCTCTGCGTCTGAGTTCACGCGGCCGATGATCCGCCACGAGGAGAACGTTCCCGTTTCGTCGATGGCCATGTACGACGAGCCACGCGTCGAGCCCGAGCGAGCGTAGTTCCGTGCGTGAGAGGACGATGAGACAACGCGATCGAACGACGACGCAGACCGCATCATCGAGGGAGTTCCGTCGCGAGGAGCGCTTGTAAACAGAAGTGACCAGAAGTTCCGGCCGGGCCGCGTTCCGCTCGACCTAGGAGGATCGTGGGAGTACCGGCTTCCTGGATCGTCCTCCTGTTCGTTCTGTGCCGCGATTACACGTGTAGGAATTGTTCAGGAAGGAGGACCGGATTCGTGAGGTGACGTCCGAGAAACAGACAGCTCTTTACGAAGACGAGATTCTTTTCCAGGAAGAGTTCTCCGCGATCGAGACGTCGAGCCCAAGAGATGAACGAGGCGTGCGAAGGAGACAGATCGTTCGCGGATACGTACGAATCGTCCACGAAGATGATCCTGGTTGATCGGGCAGTCGGGGCAATAACGATTCTACGCTGAGGAGGTCAGGAAGCCTCGCGAGCTCTTGGAAGTTGCGTCGTGTGACGAGTAACGAGCCCGAGACGACGGTGCGACGCATGCGACGTGCCGTCTATCCCGAGAGCTCTCTGCGTCGTGGAAAAACATCTGCGCGACCGGTGAAGCTTCCGACTCGCGTGTGGCCTCCCCGCTCTGACGCGTTACGTCGACGGACGGGATCAGCAGCGTGGTCCTTGGGTCCTTCGCGTTATCTGCATCCGCGACGAGCCTCGAGCGAATAAAAAAAGCTCGCGCGTACAGAAAACGACGCATACACGCACGCACAGGCCGCGGACGATGCTCGGGACCAGCGTCGCTCGTCAGACGACTCGTGGGAATCGTGGAAACGTTACGTTGGTCACTGGACGCTGATCCAGCCCCGTTTTCGTACGCTCGTCGTTCAGTGTTCCATTCTTCGATTCAAATCGGTGCTCTTGAAGTTCTGATCGCGCGAAGAACACTGCTACCACAACCCGGCATCGGATCGAACAAAGATCGTCAGAAAACGTGGCATCGTGCCGGTTTCTTAGAAGACGAAGAACGATGAACCTCCCGGACGATGTATGTTAATCAAGCAGAGGAAAGAAGTAACCGATTCAGGCGTACGCAACGTTACCTGCTCGCGGAACTCCTGCAATTATATTATTTCGGTTCGTCGGTCGATGTGTGTAGTTCATGCGAAGATGATCTCGAGTAGGTGCCAGTTTTGCGGGTGAATGGAACCGAAGAACATTCCTCCGTTCCGTTCCCAATTTCGACGATGTAGTAACGAGGTTGGCTCGGTGGAAGATATTTCGGAGCAAGGATCGGATCGTGGTTCTTAATCCGTGACGCACGAGAGAAGAGGAATAGAGGAAACAGGTGGGAGATCTTGTGGTTCGATACCGATCTCCAAACCGACGGAGAGAAAGAGGAAGAGGAGAGAGAGAGAGAGAGAGAAAGAGAAAGAAGCGGGGACGAAGTAAGAAACGGAAACGGTGTCGATGATGGTGGAAGGCACGCTGCCAGGAGGCAATTGGCTGCCGCGGTGCTCGCATTTCTTAGTTACATTTTGCTAATATCGTGAGTCAAGTGGGAAACTGAGAGTAAACAAAACGATAAACGCTAGAGGAATGCCGAGGGGATACGATGAAGGACTTGGTGGTCGCGCACGATCTTAGGATCGCGGTGTCGTCGACGTCGTCGTCGCCGTCGTCGTCGACGCGTAGCTGGTGTTCCACGATCAGCTAATACGGACGGGGGTTCGTACGAACGGCGACGAGCGTCCAGCACGGATCGCGAGAGATCGTCGAGCACGTTTTCGACACGGACGAGACTCGACGTTTCTTCGAGGGATTTCTCTCCCTCCGTTTGTGTACGAGAATACTGTGCTGCTTTTCCTCCGGGGATTCTAGCTAATCGAGCTTCGCCCGGATCACTTCGTCGAATGCGTCGGGAAGGAGGACACGAAGAAAAACGGTCGAGGGAGGAACACGCGATCGAGACATAGATAGAAGGACCACGGAGCAGAAATTATTGGAAGTCATTGAACACAAGGAGACGAAAGCAGGGTTCCCAATTGTAAAGATCCGCTCGTTCGAAGTCGCTGCAATTGTTCGGACTCGGAGTAAGTGTATTGAAGGAGAATTGAATAAATCAGGAACGGGGCGAGATACGATAAGAAGGAGAAAAGAGAGTATCCGAAGGAAGGGAAGAGAAAGAAACGGCAAAATTAGCTGAGGGGATAAAAAAAATATTGGAGGCACTAGTATGGCCTCGGTGGCAGCGTGGCTGCCGTTCGCCCGAGCGGCGGCGATCGGTTGGGTGCCGATCGCTACGCATCCACTGCCACCGCCGCCGATCCCGAAGGATCGTCGCAAAGCCGACGACGAGAAGCTCCTGATAAACGTCAGCGGTCGACGCTTCGAGACCTGGCGGAACACCCTCGAGAAGTATCCGGACACTCTTCTCGGATCGAACGAGCGCGAGTTCTTCTACGACGAGGAGAGCAAGGAGTACTTCTTCGACCGTGATCCAGACATATTCCGGCACATATTAAACTATTACAGAACCGGCAAGCTGCACTATCCGAAGCACGAATGCCTGACGAGCTACGACGAGGAACTGGCGTTCTTCGGTATACTGCCGGACGTGATCGGCGACTGTTGCTACGAGGATTACCGTGACCGCAAGCGGGAGAACGCGGAACGTTTGATGGACGACAAGCTCAGCGAGAACGGTGACCAGACCCTTCAGCAGTTGCTGGACATCAGGCAAAAGATGTGGAGGGCATTCCAGAATCCGCACATTTCGACGGCGGCGTTGGTGTTTTATTACGTGACTGGTTTCTTCATAGCCGTGAGCGTGCTGGCGAACGTGGTCGAGACCGTGCCGTGCGGTAATCGTCCGGGACGCGCCGGCACGCTTTCATGCGGCGAGCGTTACAAGATCGTCTTCTTCTGTCTGGACACGGCCTGCGTGATGATATTCACCGCCGAGTATTTGTTGAGACTGTTCGCGGCGCCGAGCCGGTGCAAGTTCGCGCGGTCCGTGATGTCCATCATCGACGTGGTCGCGATCCTCCCGTATTACATCGGTCTCGGTATCACCGACAACGACGACGTGTCCGGCGCGTTCGTCACCCTGCGCGTCTTCCGCGTGTTCCGGATCTTCAAGTTCTCCAGGCACTCGCAGGGACTCAGGATCCTCGGTTACACGTTGAAGTCCTGCGCCTCGGAGCTCGGCTTCCTCGTGTTCTCCCTGGCCATGGCCATCATCATATTCGCCACCGTTATGTTCTATGCGGAGAAGAACGTCGACGGTACGAACTTCACCTCGATCCCGGCTGCGTTCTGGTACACCATCGTTACAATGACCACTTTGGGGTGAGTACTCTCTTTCATTCGTTTCATTTTTACTCACTTTTTACCGATATCAACCGGAGGGAGCTTCGACCCTTTGTTTTTTAATATCATCGTTACTGTGCGCGTCTGTTTCTATCTCTTATTTTAATAACGTGTTTAAGTTTTTTATTAATAAATATTCGTCATCTAGTTTGTCTGTGGCGCCGAATTTATAAGTTCGATTTATTTGAAAAAAAGCGTTAAAAGAACTCGTAGCTCGAACTAACTACTACGTGTCGAATGAAACTAGAAGTAGTTGATATATCTGTAAACGTAATTGGCCCAGTGCAAACCGCCTGAAGCTGGAAGAAAGCAGCACGTGCTCCAGTGATATTTTTAAACAGAGTTCGTTGTCGACCTTTTTACCTCGAAGGGTCTCTTGCTTTCTCTAAGTATTCCGCGGAAAAAAATTACCGGAGCGACTCTATGAACAGATGGTTTTTGATTCTTCCCGTTTCCTTAGGAATTTTATCAGGAATTAAAACGATCTGATGTTTTCTTCTTCCTCTGCTCTTTTCGAACTGCGAATGCCAACGAGAGATGATGTTTGGTTTTAATCTTGCAAAAAACTGTTCATGCTCCTCCTCAAAATTTTCTTCTATTCCCATCGACGCATCTCGTTTTCTTAATGGCTCGAAACTTAAAATATCGTATCCCGTTTTCCTCCGCACTTAGACCGCAGCAATCATTGTGCTTTCTCAACAATTTCAGGCCGAATAGATGAAATAGAGAAATGGTTGAAGATATTCTTAGAAACTTAATAGACCTTTCGTTCAAATTGTAGCGTTCTCTTCATTTCATCCACCGCTCAAACGACTTTTCAACGGTGGTGATAAAAAAATTATGAAACTTTCCTTTCCTAGAGAGCGAGGACTGTCGGACCGGAAATATTAATGCTCCCATGGGGAAGCTGATACGAATTCAACGAATTTTATGGTCGTGCCGCGACGTTACTTGGCGATCTTAACGGTATTGAAAATATTGGTGGGGAGGAAAAAGAAATGGAAAATTTCAGCCGTCACCGGGCTCTGCCAGTTAGATATTATGAAAACTGTGTCAGGAACTGTTTTCGTTTCGTTTTTTCGCGGACAGCTGATAGACAGCGCGTGGTCTTAGTTACACAGCCGGCGGTTTGAAATAGGTAGTCGTGTGCCAGCTACGAATCTATGCGTCTGCGATATTAAGAAATTCTAATCCGATCCGAGCCAGACGTAGTTTCAACCAACATGATCGAATTTGAGATTGAACAGTCGTAAAAAGGTCCGATGAATCGGGATGGTATTTCCTAATTCCTAGCTACCTTGTCTTTCTAGAGAACATTCGAACGGCCGCGACTGGCAGGTTTACTGAAGTTCAACATTCTAACTCCTCTGATCTCCACGGCCATTTCAATGGCACACGTAGCTTCTTGCCGGGTTATGAAGTTCTCAAGGTTCCGACGTCTAGGAATGGGTCGATGGGTTTGATAAACGGCAAACACGATTTTAGGGGTGATCGATTGTAATTTAGTTACCGACTCGGAAATATTGTCAATGAGTATCTTGCGTTTTCTAGTTCATCTTCAGTCTTTATGCGTTATTTAGATTATATGATATGATATTAGTCGATATGATTTTATAACTGCATATTGAACATTCATTGAAATAGTTTTATTATTTATAAAAGAGAGATTCATAGTAAGTACCGACTCAACCGGGCAGCCATGTACCTTTCTAACATTTGTCTGTAAAATTTTGACGTTTTTTGCTCTATTTTATTAATAATTCGGCGAAAACAGTGCAAAATACGGGACTACAGTTTTCATACTGTAATATAGTTCTAAAATCTAAATTTGCAAATATTTCATTAAATATAATATTTAGGATGGGAGCAAGTTTTGAGCAATTTTTTAAGATAGAAATTGTTGGAAAACGTTAATATTCTGCACAAACTATATTAGTTTTCGTCCTTATGTGAGAAGATTTTTGGATAAAACCATGTTTTTGGGTAATTTTGTGGGTGAGATTGATATTCTGCTCTCTCGGTGTCTACCCCCATTAATTTTCCAGGCAATTGTATTGCGATTGAATTTAAGGATAGTACAATAGCCAGTTGATTGACCAACTTTTTCGGTGAACGGCGGAATGTATAAGGTTCATTAATGGGTAATGACGGTCCATTATCGCACGGTTCCGGGATGCGTGAGTTCCAGATTAATGTGTTTCGTCGATGGAATTATAACAGTCGGTGTTACCACGTTTTCCTTGTTAATTATAGCGATTTAGATTGCTTCCTCTATGTTTCTCTTTCCCATTCACACGCGTAAGTATCGTATTTGCGCTTTCACGGACGCGCTTCCGTTGGTAATTTTAATCTCGTCCCCGGTATAAATTGTTTCGCACGTCCAAATATAGCGCCTCTCATTGACGCGAGTTTTTCAGAATTCAAGTGTGAATTCGTTAGCGGTATCGTTATTTTCGGTTTTCAATAACAATCCAGAAAACATTTTTCTTCTCTTACATTTACGACCAGGCTTCTCTGAATCAATTTTCAATGCGAGAATTCTTCAGTTTTAAACAAAGGGATCCGATTTGTTTTCGCAGCTTGCGATATTAATATAATTTTCCGTTCGATTCGAGCGGGACAATATATCGACAGAGAAGACCCACGACTACCGTTCGTGTAAATACAAGTGAATACCTTCTGCTTTAAATAAATCAAACGCGTCCGACTCTCGAACGTATTATTTATTAATTTATTCGATAATTATCGGTCATCGAGGAGAACGTGAATAAAAGAGAAACAACGAATGTCACGAGAAAAATTCTGCACGTGACAAAAACATGACGTCATTTCATTTCATTTCGGAAATGTTATTTGGGAAGTCGGGGCGAGGTTGTATCGTGCCATGCAGGAAATTCTCGTTGTCCCGTGGGTTAATAACGTCGTCGACTTTTTTTCCACGTGTCAGCACACTTTCAGGTTGCGTGTCCAGGCTTAGTCCAGGTCGGTTCCTTCAAACTTTAACGAGAAGGATCAACAGGTGCCTCGAGGATTCCTCTAGCAAGCTTCTAATGCGATACTTTTCAAATCTACTTGTGAGCTAGACGAACGATCGTTCCTCGTCGAAATTCCTTGTGCGATTCGTCTTTTCGTAGACACACGAACTTATAAAACACGGCGTCTACATCATCATTTGAATAGAAGCAAAATAAATTCAATCGTAAAACTAACGCGACTAGAAATACTGATAAACTTCCGCGCACGTGCTATCATTTCCATCTAGTAACTCTAAAGAGAAAAGATCGCTGGGTGGTGATAAAAGTATATCGGGCCAGGATTCTCACAAATTTCCATCCCGCGATATTAATTTACGTTCCCTCCGCGGAATGCAGTTTACCCCTTTGCTCTGTGACTCGTTTCAAAGCTTTGACTCTTTAATCCCGATTTTGAACAGAGTATCACTAGACCCGCGTTCCACGTAAAATGTTAATTACAATTTGGGTGCTGCTATGGTAGGACAAAATGTCAAATGAAAAATATGTAAATTTCATAATCTGAATAGTAGTTTCTCGTCACTGTTGGACCTTTTGAAGAATACTGTAATTCTTCATGATTCTCCTGATTTCAATTTTTGTAAAAAATGGTGTGAAAAGAGCACGCGTTACCGTTTCCTGTGCCGACGCACATCACTCCCAGCCATCGATGGAACCTTCCGATGGGTTACGATGGACAGAAATAACTTGAAAATGTGTGCGTTTCCGGTCTCAAATGAAAACGGAGGTCGAGTGAGTGATGATTTTTTAATTGAGTAACAACAGTTAGTTCGTATGTCGGTGTAAACGTTTGCAGAAGGTTGTTTGTGGTGTAGAGTTTCCTCGTTCTTGTAAGAGTCGCCCGTCGAGTTGAACTTTATTGATTTAGAGCAAACAGCTACCCCTCACATGTAAAACCGGCACGCTTTAGTATAAATTCATAATTTTGCCGAATAACATGTTGGGTAATACAAAACAGTCTTTCTGTATTACGACTGTCCGTCGCTAAGCAATGCAAAAAATTCATTCGGGGTACCAACAGACTTAAAAGAAGCCATCAGTAAAAACGATTCAGCTACAATGATTTCGTTGTCAACGACATCATTACAAATTTTGATTTATACATTGTTTATTATGTTTAGTTGACAGCGAAGTCATGTTTAGCTGACTCAATAGAAATTAAAACGTTTACCTTACCTCGGTGACAGGGAAATGTAATACGAAACTTCATTTTCCATATTGCTCGAGTTTTGTTCTTTACTTGTTACTCGCGAAAAGAGAGAATAGCTCTTTATTTAAGAGGCTCGAGGAAGGGATCGGAAAAGGGAATTGAACAGCCGAGTAGGCTGAATATACGAGAAAAGTCGTTTCCGCTGAAAAATCGTAGGATCGAACTGTCGGCTACGTGGAACGGATTTTCGTAGTGAATTTCACGACTGCGAATCGAATATTCATTTTCTCCCCTCTCCCCTCGTTCGCGGGATAGAGATCATAGCGGCCAATGGTTAGAAGGGCCTCGAGCCTCATCAATATGTTCGACGTTGGAATCCGGTCACCATCGGATTCCCACTCGGCCAGAATCCGAACCATTTTCAATACCGATCCCCCAGAGATTATGGTCGATTTAACTACTTTTTCAAAGAACATTCGATCGATTCAGTTTCGTTCAAGCGAATTCGCGTTGTCGTTTCAGAAGTTGTTTTGATACATTTTACGAATGGGTCACGTTACTCTCGCGTCATTTTTCTGACTTTGATCGGTCGCAGGGACCGTTCGAAGCGACACGCGACACGGTTCTTTCGCTTTCGGGTAATGGAACTCGATTGAAGTAAAGGAGAGCGAAGCGAGACGTGGAGGTGACGAGACTGAGTATATCAGGGGACGTAGAAAACGCGAAAAGTGGAGAGTTCGAACAGAGAAAGCTCGGATGAACGCTCGGCAAACACTTCTCGGTTGTCGAGGTTCAAT